CAGAAGGCTACCGTCACAGATGGGAACGTTAAATAGAATGACGGAGCTAGGTCGGTCAGTGATGCCAATATTATTCTATCTGATAGGTGGTTTTCACAGGTGCTTTGAGTTTTTTCTCCACTCTGACCCGTTCTCTATGTTGCCCGCTGGATGCTGTTTCTGGTGTGACTCCATGGCTTGAGGTGGATGCAGTTGCCTTTGGTGTAGGCAGTGCATTGTTCTGCTTAGAACCTCTCAGGTTCTTAGTCTCCTGTAGGCCATTGCTAAAATCATCTGGAGAGTCAATATCCTCTGTGACAGTCGTTTGGACGGATACCTGCTTTTTGATTACTGGAGATTTGTCGGTTACTCTGAGTAAGCCCGAAGCTAGGTTCGGTCCCAGAAGGCACTGTGGGCAAATGTACCAAAACCACGTGCACGGGTGACGCGTCATAAAGTTATAGTACTGATGTGGCACTCCTTTGTCACATCGGCAGTGCACCCATCTGTTGCAGCTGTTGCACTCAAAGGCAGCATCAATTTTAGTGACAGTGAGAGCACATGCGTGGCATTTATCATCATGTCCATGCGGTTTTCCAAACGTTTATGCCCTACTCTTTGACGTTTCCGCCCAGTGGTTCTCACTGGGGGATCGGGGTGGGCGCAGGGAGTAGCATGGGCTCTGGGTCTACCAGGTATAGTGACGTTTACAGTGCCGGGAGTACTGGTTACACGGCTAACTTCAAGTGTCGCAAGCCGTGATTGTGACCGACCGACAGAGGTGGGCTTGGGTAGTGCGTCCGTATCCTCAATTTCTTTCTTTGCCACGCTTTGGCGTCTCGTAGCTCCAGTCCTAGTAACTACTGAGGATGACTAGGTCAAAAACTGTGGCGAGATTGTACCCAAAGCATTTCTACCACTTGCCTTTTTCGGGGTCAGCATACTTCTACCGCGCATATTAATATTAATAAACAGATGAAGATAAAAGAAGTAGAGCAATGAAAATGCACGGCAGTAAACAGAAGACTCTCGACCTTACCTTCAATTGTCTGTTCCTGTGACTCTGTCGAAGTTCAAAAACTACCAAGCCCTGGAAGTAGATGTTAGTGAGATATAATTTGCCGCAGATACAGCAATCTGAGGTGGATTTCGATAATTATGAAGTTGTAGTCCAGAGAACATTCTTTATTTCTGTTTGTTGTATTTAGGTATTCTGAACTCGGTAAAACTGGTTACTCTCCATGAAGGGTAGTTTCAGCCGCGGTCTATTCCTTAAGTAATTAGTTCTCGACGGAAATCAAGCCAACGTTTAGAACTGAATTATTTTTCTACAACGAGAAAAGAACAGAGGAAGCAGCAGGCGGAGAAAGCAAGAATTTCAACAAGGAGAGTGTTTTCTATGTTCATGCTCCTCCCTACTTAACTTCCCTTGCTATGGCTTTTATTGTATATCCTTATTCTATAGAGTATTTAAAAATATAAATTTCATGCTGTCATGTGGTGTAGGATTTCTGTTTTTGATCACTGTGTTGGGTGGGGCAGAATTTGCCGTTAGTAACTAACTTTCGTTTTTATTTTGGTGATGTGCAACAGCCGGCTTTCTCCGCCGGCGCGACAGTTCCCGGCATTTTGTGACCTCATCCCTAAAGATGCTGTAAAACCAGAACCATTTATGGTTTTTTACCCTGTGAGGTTTGGTTTTGGACTACCACGAGAGTTGGTGCGCTGGCCTGGAGTGCTTTTCTGTGATGTGCTACGTAACATAGGGCTTCGAGTTCGTAGCAGCTGTTAAACCGAGTTGCGTAGCTTGTTCGCCTCTGAATCCTAGCTCCCAAGGTTTTCGCAGACCGAACATACGCTGGAGACCGATCCGCTAGAGATCTCCAGCATCCTGTCTTCTGAGGCTGCCAGGTCATCGACTGTAACTGACTGAATTGTCACTAACACGGTTTGCGTCGGTCGTGGTAGTTCCGAGAGAAACAGTTCTCGAAAAATGCCATTATCGACAGTTCGTGTGCTCACGACTTCTTACATGTCCATGAGCCCCCCAGTAGCCGGGTCGCTACCTAGCTCGATGTTACGAAGCAATTCACCCAGGCGCCGGCGATCTGTGGGATCACTTTTCTTCAGGAGCGTAGCCTCAACGAGTGCATAGGGATCACTTACTTCAAAGTTAGCCATATGTGCTGTGACGTGCCTGTTTAATTCCCGCGGTAAGCAACGTATGGCAGCAAAAGCTCAAGAATGTGGATCTGCTACTCTCCATTCTCAGAAATCTTACTCAGTACACACAAACCATGTTTCTGCACTGTCTGGCCAGTATGACAGAGGCTGGATAGTGTTGGTAGTCAAGTTACTGCGGAAAAGCTTCGGAGTATTGTCGGACATGGAGAGGGGTCATATGTGGATATACTGAGGTTATCAGAGTAAAAAAGATTTACAAGTTTAAAATGGAATGGGCTCACCAACTCAAGAACTCCCCTGGTGCCAACTTGAAAGACGCAGGGTGTCACTATATTATTCCGTTGTTTAACTTTTCTTTGCCTTTTACTTGTATACATCTGCCTTTTTAGGTTTCATCTTCACTATGGCAAACTCTGTCTAACGATCAGTCCGAAGAAGTGTCTGGCAACTCGACATTTGAAGGATCCAACTGCACCATGACCCAAGGCAAACTAACCAACGCTTAAACTCCAGTTCTGTATACCAGGGCTACGGTAGACGATTGGATGGACTTACTGCATCAAAATCCGCAAAAGATTCAAAATCTTTCAGCAAGACCACCGAGCCAGCAAGAAGAAATCAAGTGGTTTACACAAGCTCGTTAAACAGATATTGGATATCAGATATACACCTCTAGGGTTTCCCATAGCTAATGTGGGTGAGTGGCTAATCCTTTTGAACCAAAAACTGCAGAAGTGATCTGAGAGTGGACGGAATCAAATAGTTCATTTATGCATGCTGCCTCAAAAAAATTTATTGAGTCGTGCAGGTTTATTCTACAACCAGTGGTTCTGAAAAACCGCGCCGAGGTGCTTACTAAACCGCTTCGCAAACTTTATGAGCACTCAATAGACTCGTGCAAACTCCCTAAAGAATGGAAGAGGGCCATCTTGTCACCCATCTTCAAGGGAGAAGACAGAAAAAGCCCTGGCAGCTACAGGCCAAATGCTCTACTCCCTAAAGTGTCGAAAGTGTTGGAAAGCCTGGCAGCTGATACCATCTAGGAATTCCACAATGGGTAAAACACAATCCATGCCGCTCAGCATGGCTTTTGGAGTGGTTGCTCATGTGCCACCAACTGACAAGCCGCCTGGGACGACTGGACACAAAGCTGGGATAACGAAAAACCGATGCATGTTGTAGTTCTCGGCCTAGCCAAAGCATTTGATAGTGTCCCACCCACAGTACTGCTTCACAAGATCATGTCAGCTGGTATAAGTGGACCCCTACTCTCTTGGTCCAAGGAGCACCTGGAAGGGAGGCAGTTCTGCACTAAAGTGAACAGAATAAGGTAGGAGTGGAGACCCTCAACGCCAGGACTATCCCTAGGGGCAATCCTAGGACCGCTTCTGTTCCTCCTGTTTGTCAACGATCTGCCAGATAAAATAGCCTCACCCATCTCCCCCTTCGCTGACGACATAAAAATTTGGAGGGTGGTCAACGAAGAAGCTGATTGTACGGCACTACAAAAGGACTTGCAGCAACTCAAGCTCTGGTCGTCGGAAAATGACCTGAGCTTCAATTTGGAAAAGTGCAAAGTAATGCACATCAGTAAAAATGAAGCAAGTACGACCGACTTCCACTACTTGCTGAGCAACCGTGCTATCACCAGAGTGTCCATGGAGAAAGATTTGGGGCTCAACTTCTCCGACACCTTGGACACCAGCTCCAACTACGAAGGTATGACAACCAGAGCGAACGCCACTCAACACTTTCTGCGTATACTGCTCGGCGCCCTCACTCCCGAACTCTTCCTCACCATTTTCAAATCCTGCTTACGGCCGCATCTAGAGGTCTTCAATACGGTATCTCCTCCAACACCCAAGAGAGACTCTAACCTCCTTGAAAGAATACAAAGAACTGCAACAAAATCAGCCGTGGGGCTAGGGGAAAAGACGTATCCTGAAAGACTTAAATACCTAAACCTATTTACCCTGGGTTATCGCAGGAGAAGGAGTGACCTCATTATGGCATACAAGATTGCCCATCAAGCAGACCATGCAAACAAATCAATTTTGCCTGCAACTGAACGATCTTCACGAGGAAACCCCATTAAGATAGCACACCGGAGAGCCAACACCATACTCAGGTCCAAATTTTTCTCCCTAAGGGTATGTGCTTTATGGAATGCCTTGCAGCGACACATCGTCATAGCTCCCTCAGTCGACTCATTCAAGGGGCGATTAGACAGTTATGTCACCTCTCATAGACTACCACGGACATACTCAGGTAGTCACCGACCTCAGTACCCCCAACTCCCTCCCAACCACCACTCACTATCTCCCTCCTTAATACACATACATTACCCGCTAATTCTTCCGTAGGAACCAAACCCATGCGACCATTCACGCAATTCCCAAATACTTTTTTTTCGTTCTTATTCCTCTTTCTCACCCCTCCTTTTCTTCTCCTTCCCCTTTCTCTTCTCTTATTGTTATTTTTCTTCTTTCGTCTCTTTTTCTTTATTCTTTATCCATTCTTTCACCACAACCTTACTATCCTCTTTCGGATACCTACACAGACAGGAGTCACGGCAGTTCTCTAAACTTCCCAGCAACCTGTAGCTCCCCAATCACTCTACAAATTACAACTCACTATCTCACAAAACATCCACCTCACCGAAGCTAAAAGCAAGAAAGCAGAGGGGATTTCCTCGTCCACTGCAGGAGTGAACCGAACAACTCGAACCAAGCCCTAGGAACTAGATGCGAGAGATCGAAGACTACCAGTTTTCTACGCTCGCACTATCAATATTGGATATTGGATTGTGTATTACCTTGGCACTTATTACAAATGTCAGTGCTACTTCTATCTAATTTTCAAGGTCTTTTTCTCCTGATTATTTTGTTGTTTTGGTATAATATTCTTGTAGCATTGTAGATTCAACTGCAATAAAAAAATTAGGGACAACATCAACCACAAATGTAATTAGTTTAAACATAGAACTCTAGGAACCATCGTTCACCAATTCCACAACACAAAGCTTAGCTATTTTCAACATTGGTCAATAATTGCACAACCTTTATTCAGCAGCCGGATCAGTGTTGATTTGTTTTGGAACTGAGTGATCTTGAGGTTTTTATAGGCTATATTTTTAAGACAATAGCAAACTAACTCAGCTACAGGCCAAGTTTTCAAAATAAATAGTGCTAGCGTAGGAAGCTGATTGCTTTTGAGCTCGTATCTAGCTCATGAGACATCATTCTTTATCGCTTTTCTCCTTCGACGGATTAAGAAGTCTTTTATTTTTGCTTTCAGCTATGTTGAAGTGAAAGTACGCTCTTCGAATAGTGGCGTGAGATTTCTCCACATCAGAAATTTCTAATGTGAAAAGACGGAGTGTCCAAACCTTTGATTGGATTATTTCAGATGTCGAGACGGAACGTCAGAAACGCTGATTTAATTGCACAATAGGCTAAAATATAACTTCCCTAGAGTTTATATTGGGGAAAAGCTTCAGAATTTCCAACCGTTCCTCATAGGAAAGATACGAAAGTCTTGCTACTAACCTTTTATCCACTCGTTGTGTTGATCCGGGTTTGAAGCAAGGAGTAGATTCCTGTGTGCAGTGTTCTAGATGAGATCTTACTTAAGTAGAATAAACTATCGTTAATACTTCATCAAAGCACGTAAACGCCCTATTTGGTGACAACAGCATTTGGCATTGCTCCACATCAGAAAATCCTCAGCTGGGATATTCCACTAATCAAAATAAGATGTTGGCAATAGTCATCTAGTTGCACATATTTGGCTCCTACATAATCGTCAACATATCCCTCGACTGGAAAAACTACTAATATCACTTCTTAGAACTAATCAATCTACCTCCTGTCAGTAGTTCTCAGTTGTTCCAGCTGCCCAACTGCAGTAACTTTTGGTTCTCTTCGAAGGTAATTCTCCAGGAAACATGTTTTTTGGTCCCGCATACACATCTGTGGCTCACGGTTAAACTCGTTGGCAAGCTGCAAAAGACCAAGTGACAGGTATCTGGAGGCAATCCAACTTAAATGTCTTTGTCTTTCTACGTTCTGTTATTCCGCTGCGTTCAGTCTTTGATTCCCGTCACTTAAATAAACATTTTTATAACACTGTCATCTGAGATCATGTCAGCCGAGATAAGTCAGAGGTTTGCTTACGCTGGCTGATACGATCTTGTGGAGTAGGATTTCGTGCAAGAGATTGAAATGCTTTAGCCACGTTGAGGAAAATGACGTAGTGGTTTTCTGTTGTCCCAGCTAAAAGTTCAGTCGTCCCGAGTGATCAGCTGAACAGTGTCTTTCGTGTCCAAGAATTCCCAGACCTCCTCTGCTATCAGGCTTTCCAATCCTTTGGACAGTATAGGGAGTAAGGCAATCGATTTGTAGCTACCAGAACTTGTCTCTTCCGTTGACAATAGGTGACAAGTTGGTGCATTCCCACTCTAAAAGGCCTTCGTGACTAGCGAGTATGTTAAAAGATCACCGACCAGTTTCGCCAGTGCCTCAGCTCGGTTCACTAGGACTACTGATCTTGGGTCTTTGCAGTTAGGGGATTGACCTTGACGGAGCCTGGATCGTTTTTCTGATACTTTTTTGTGTGTGATTGGGATGTGGCAAAGGTAGTCGTTATTTACGGTCTGTTCAGTATCGTTTCATATCGCTGCGTGTTTGATATCAGAAGTATTAAGCTGGGCTTTAAAGCGTGAACTCAGAAGCTCAGTTATTTCTAGACATCTCCATTGGGACCTGTTATAAGACTAGCTCCTTTGCTAGTTGACTTGCTTTTCGACAAGAAGGTACGGGTTTCCTGGATTACCTTTTATGTTCCCCGCCAGGTTTTCTTGATAGCTAAACCTGTCTATCTTATGTTGTATCGGTTGCGAATTCTTTTGTACGCCAAGAAGTCAAACTCCTTGCGTGATGAATCCAGTTGAATCAAGCCTGCTTTTTGGTGTGAAGTAGCCTCTCTATCAGGCTCTTTAGCCATGAGGTTCTCACCGACGGTCGGTGTGCTACCTGTGGCATAGTAATGTATAGATCCATGATTTATTTACTTCACCTGTATCCGGTGTTCGGTCTCCAGGTTATGATGCACTCATGAGGTAATCTCTCATGATCTCGTAGATGGCCTTGTTGTAGCTGGGGAAGGTGCTCGGTGTTTGGATGCAAACCCTCATTAGTTATCTAGGTTATTACTGCTTAATCACTGGCACCAAACGGAGGCTAGACACATGTTTCCAACGAAACCATCGTTAGCCAGAACATAGACTAGGAATGTTGCATTGCTGTTAGGCCTCCAGCGTGTGACATCGTTACCTTTTTTTCTGAGACCCATCATCTTAATTCCACTCTTACATCTCTAACTGGAGCCTCTGGTAGTGTCCTCATTCCGACTAAAAAGGGTAGATGGAGTGTCAAAGCCGCCGGTTATGATTATAAAGTCGCCATCCTCAGAGGTTGTAGCCGAGATAGGCTTGATAACCGTTTCATTATGGCCAGGAGTGCTAGTGGGATACTCACATATGACCCCAACCAGGTATTTGTTGTGATGGAGAGTGCAGTAGCACCATAAAGTTCAGGAGTTAGATGAGCCGCATCGCTCACCACTTGTCTTTAAGGAGGAGCTTACGTAGAGGGCCACTTCACTCTGAGCTCCCTGTCCATACAGAGGAGTTCGCGACATTCATCTCTGTCAGAAATGTCTGACGGGAGCTAGGATTCTGCTACAAATACGATGTTAATGTGCAAGTGTTCGCGGAGCGTCATCATTTCTTCTACTTACTATCTTATTTCCCTAACATTACTGTACTGGGTGGGAGAAATGACCTGGTTGCATATTTCTGTGAGGGCAGCACTTACGTGGTTGGGTTCCAATGCGGGGTCGTCAGACCCATAGGACTTCTGTCTCTCTGTCTTTTTGGGTTTCATTTTGAGTCTGTGTGGGGAACATAGTATTAAAATCTCATTACTGTGTTTACTTGAATCACCAGCTTGCGCCTGTTTGACAACGATTTAGTCGAGAGATTTTGGCAGTTGCCGTCTGTCTTCTTTTCTGGTGGATTTCGACTTACTTTTATACATGGGTATTGCACCATCCATGCAATCTTTCGCGTTATACCATGGGTTTGGAACTTGTGTGAGTGAAGCTTGAGTCGAATTGTATGGCAGTTAGTCTGGTAGTGAGGATCGACTTTAGATGGGTTGGTCTTGGCCGTCTGCTGACGCTGTTTGCTGGTATATTGTTGAGGCCAACTTTATTTGAAACTCACTACCATTGCTCAACGTAATGATGGTACCGATCTTTAGTGGCGCATTGACTTGGCGGTTATAGGATTCCATATAAAACCATCGTGGTGTTTCTTTTTGGATTTCCAACTTAGGCTTTTCCGTCCTCTATCAATGACTATAACTTGTCAGGCTTAGCATGCATCTCACAGGTATTGATAGTGTCCTGCTGCTGTGAGAGAAAAACGTCTTCGGCTGCTTTGGTGGTGTTCAAATACGTGTAAGGGTGGTGGCTTCTCTCGGGGTGCCCAGCTATCTTGAAAAAGACGCGGGGAGAGAAGACATTCCTGGTGTCTGACAGTAGTCGACCCACTTTTAGCAGTCAAACCATTCTTTCTTGAATAACGGTGAGTATGTCGATATATCAACGTTGAACACGATGATTGAGTTGGCTCTCATGATACTTGCATTCATCATGCGTGATACGCCCAATTTTTCAGCGGCTTTGGTATGAACTTTTCCGAGTTGTTTCTCGGTCGCAATGTCTAGGAAGTTCTGGCTGTGTTTCACCGAAGGTCCTACAAACGGAATCATTTTCCATGCTTTTGAACTTCCCTGTGGTTGGGTAGGGGATACGGAAGTTCGATCTGAAGTGGTCTCCGTGCTACCCATTGTGTGCATGGCTACAGGCCTAGCTTTGTTTTTAGCTGCCCTAATGTTATCCTTTGATTTTGCCTCTACTTTTTTCCTGGAGGTTGATATCCTTTGCGTGGTGGAGAGTAGCTCCTGCAGGTCCTTTGTGTGCAGTGCAGAGAGCTTTCTGCATTTTGGATAGATTTACCAGAACCACTTGGATGGCTGTTTCTTCATGAACTTATAGTACTTTTGGGTTACCTTGCTGTCAGTGGCATTGTACCCATCGCTGACATAAGTTGCATACGAATACCTCGTCGACTACCAATCTGACTTTAACATAGATACTGCAACAATCAAATGTTATTGTGTCGCCTGTCTTCCTCTGAGAGTGTTGCAGTTAGCAGTAAACTGCTTGTGGTTATCTTGTCTCCGGGCTTGCCACGTCATTTCCTCTTTTTTAGCGAAGTCTAATGTCCGCCAAGTCCGGAACTGCTTTGTAACATAATGGAGCTACTGTGTGTCATCTGGGTGATCGCTGTGGGCATCCTAGAAACAAGGGGTGACCGCTTCTTCAGATCGGCACTCCAATCTACCTCTAGTCAGCTGTGGATACAGTTAGGAGTGTTATCTCGAGAGTCATTGTCCCACCCAGTGTAGGATCGCGTTATCCATTTCACTATCTGAGATCTACAGATTCTGATCAGTTGTTTAGGTCTTTTCGAAGTGGCTTAATTCAGGGTTGTTGTGTATTGTCTTCACTCTCAACTCTACAATTTCACCCAAGGTTTTCTTTTCCCGCAGCATTGCTTGCTGACCGCCCTTACGCAATTACCTTTTATTATGGTAACAGCACTAATTATTCGAAACGTAATAATTACTGTTAGTTACTGTTAGCTCATTGTAAGATTATGCACAAGAAGTCTTTTACAGTTAAAAATATATTCACAAGTATCACTGAAATGGTAAGGAAATGACTACTTTTCGTTTTAAGTACAAGATGTAAGGCATCTGAATTGCTAATGAATTAACCCACACTTCCTGTCAACTTTTGCGTTATAGGATCATTTTCATATGTGAAGGACTTGCATTTGGAGAGTTTCATAAATACTGATGATCAAGCTAAGTAACTGTTTGGTGTTACATCATCAAAACGTATGACTGTTAAATCAGTACATAAGGTGGTTTTGGATTCGTGGTTTCTAGCTGCAGATTTTGTTAAATAATTTGTAAACATGGTTCCAAGGTTCATACCGTGCATGTTTTTTGTATGTTAGTTCAGTTTTGATTTGCTTAGAGCAACTTAGCTTACTGGTACATGTTTATTGGCTAAAATATTAGCCACACCAAGGTATATGAGTACCTGGTTTTTCATGTAGAAGCCAGTGGTAGGGGGGTATAAACCTAAGGCAAGTCTTCTAAGTTAATGAGCCAGATATCCACGTATAGTCACCAAGAATGCCATTAATACTTCTGAGTTCGAACTTAGTCATAACCTTTAAGGTAAGTCGAACAGTCCACTCAACGGAGTTATGAATATATAGTGACTAAACTGTTCAGAGCATATTTTGTGCAAACTGCAGTTCAAACTTTCTAACCACAATATTACACCAAGCAGTAAAATCACTAGTTGTCGACTTGGTTAAGTCAGTATCTGAACTTTAAGTAGCTCAGATCAAAATTCGTAGTAGTCGTGGTCATTCTGTTCTTAGAAAGTTTATTTGCTTGTACAGCTGCACATTGTCACAGTTTTCCATTTAAATGTGAGAGAAATAGTCGTTTCTCAGGAACTTCGAGTTTTATGAATTTCCTTTTTATTTCTGCCATATTTCTATTAATTGATTTCATTTGACGAACAAAAATAATCGGTTTCGTCTTGGTTCTTAGATAATTGTTAACTAACTGATTGGTTGCAGTTGCAATTTATAAGTATGTTATCGTAACTCAGGATGTATCCTGATTGCTGTTCCATCTTAAAAATTTACTTGCAACCAGTTTGATTTGAATCGTGCATAATGCTAATCGTGTTAATATTTCGTAAATGGCTAACACTCGTTATTATGCTGTTACATTGATCAGCATTCTGACTGCTAGCCTGTTTACGTACCTTGAATTTGTGATGTGGTTTACAAGAATTATTCACCATTTTATAAAATTGAGACTTATAAATTCATCCAATCTTGTGTCAACTTTCTGATGTAAAGCAATTAGTTTGGTGCAAAACGAAACGATAACTGCAACGTATCAACCTGTGTTATTACTGTTGGCACTTATTGTATTTTAGCATACTGCTTTCGGACTCAGTGGAGATGCACTCAGTATTCACATGCACACTCGTGCACTAGGCAGTGGGCCACATCTGTTGTGTGAGAGCTAATGGTCCTCTCTGGATGCTCAAACCTTGGTAGGTAAAACAGGGTTCGAAGACGTTGAAGGTCGAGTGCCTAAACCAGTGATCCACAGCTCTACTTCCAGACTGAAATATATCTATCATAGAGCTTCAGTGAAAATGTTCAGTGCATCTGTAAATAAATGGACATTCGGCTCTTACTATTTTAGTCTTAAAAGTGTAGAAATGATTTCTTTCCAAAAGTTGTACTTCCGACCATGTAAATCGATTAGGTTTTGAGCCTTCATCAATTGAGGTGGCTTTTACTGTGTTACGCATGTCTAGCCACCGTCTACCCCGTCACATAATGCTCACTAAAGTAAGTTCAGGTTGGAAAAAGTTAAGAGGTGACGAGAATTTGACTTAGTATCAGTCCCTGAAGTCTGACTGCTGGTCTGATCCATATAGAGAAATGTAAACTTCCTCGTCAGAGTCGTTGCAACAGAAACCAGTGTTTCGAGACTGAGTGATATGGTTCAGAATCAGTCTCACCGGCGTAGATGCATCCATACATTATCTTCATCTTGACCATCAAACTGAATTTCAGCATCGTTTCATTTCTCCTTGTTACTTCTGATAACTTTCTACCACTTTCGATTGCTTTCCTCCTTCTTTATCTTTAATTGTGGTCCATTACCACTTGCTGTGGTGATATGAGGTGTGGCAAGTACGACCGGTTCACAGCAATGCCTGGTCCTATATTGATATTGTCTGTTTGTATCTATCTATCCAACTTCCGATCTTGTAGATCATAAAAACTAAGTATTAGGGGACGTCAAGTTTTTTATGCCTAGTACCCATTTGTACTGGAACTATAACAGGTATTTAATTATGCGTTCCCATTTCAGTGTGGTGAGTTTCAGTACTTTTGATTTGCCAGTTCTTCAGAGACTTCTTAGCATACTTCAGTAAATGATTGTTACTAGAATGTACACTGCGATTGCTTCTAACACTCGGAAATACTCGCAATCCAGAAAACCTACTCTGTAAAAACTAGTAAAAGAGAGGAAGGAAGAATAAGATGATTAAATTAGGTATAGTGGTTAGGTTAAGGATAATGTGTGTATAGATATGCGCCACTGACATCGGTTCTAAACCATATCACCTAGAGTCTCTAACCACTGGTTCCTCTTGTCCCACTCATTGGTCTAAGCACTTGATTTTCACTAGTTTAAGAAACATTTATATTCATATGGCACTAGAGAAGGAATGTTTCATAAAACGTTTTCGAACAAAATCCAGCTTTGATGATACATTAGGAGATCACAAAAAAAGGACTAATTAATGTTTAAAATAGCAATGAGAAGACTTACCAAGACCGAAGCAATACTAGGTTTAGTTAAATGATGTAATATGTTTAAAGGGAATGATGAGTGTGATGAGAAGTCAGGATTTTAAGGGTAGAAGGTTGGGATGTATGAGATGTAATATGCCAGTAGGCAGGTGAAAAAAAAGTGATTTTGGGGATAAAATATTTTTACAGGTCATGTCCACTGCAAATGAAGTGATCAGACAGACTTCGTTTGAATGTAGACGCCCAACTCACCGTTTTCCCTTTGGGTTCCACTCGAGGGCCTGCCCTGACACATGATGTCACTGAATGGTCTTCTCAGTGTGTGCCCGATCCATCTCCACTTCCTTCTGCATATTTGTTCGGCGATGGGTTTTTAGTTAGTTCGTTTTCAGGCCAGAGTTCTCTGTTACTTATTCTTTCTGGCCATCCATCTGATCTTCAGTATCGAGCGTAGGCAGCTGTTGATAAATGTCTGTAGTTTGTTGGAAGTGCTTTTCGTGACGCGCCAAGTTTCTGAACCATATAGAAGCATTGACTTGACATTAGTGTTGAAAATCCGGATCTTGTTCACACTTTATCCTGAGTGCAGTAGATCTCCACACTGATTTCAGATTAATGAAAGCCTGTCTTGTTGTGTTTCTGATCCTGGTTTTGACATCCTCGTCTGTGTCGCTGCTGCCTGTAGTTGAAACGATGCAGCGTGCCTAGGTAGGTGAAAGAGACTACTTCGTTTACATTTCTCCCGTTGATGGTGATTAGTACTTGTTGTTCATGCTGTTGTTCGTTGGGTATCTTCATCACCTCCGTCTTCTCCATATTCACTTGAAGTCCCATCTTTGCCGTTCTGCCTGTTCTTCCTACTTGTTAGTTTTTGCCTGTAGATCTTCGAGTGTGTGCTACATTGGACATTAAACATCATCGGAGAAATCCAAATTTTCCAGGCTCTTTTCATCGGTCAAACAACGTATACCCATCTTCTCCCTCCTGCATGAGTGTGCATGTAGTTACTGGGTGCATTTCGATTCCAGATCTGATGAGCTGCATAAACTTGAGAGTAAAAGCTTTTCATCTCCCGACTACTTGGATTGTTGCTTGTCCCGATGACTTTCAATGCAGTTTTGCTGCCAATGTCTTTACACATATTTTGACTGGCTTTACTAAAACGTCTCTTCAGATTATGTGTAAATGAGAACGAGCTGACGATCTATGTTAGAGAACACTCCAACTACAAAATCAACGGAATTGCGAAAATTTCCGTTTTAGGTTATCTCACCTGTTAATGGGCATATAAGTGGAGTGACCTAAACCCTTACCTTTTCAATTATTTTCTATTTAGGCTTCTATATAGACCAGTGTTGAACTCCTTTACGTTGTGGCTCGTAGTGTTCAGGATGCTACATTTTATCCTATTTACCTGGTAACACTATGCTTGCCCCCCCCCCAGCCCTGAAATGATCAATAGGTCTGCAACTAAGGGATTAATCTTCTACATTTTTGGAGGTTTATAACGCTTAGTAGCTGGGTAAAATATAAAGGAGCATGCTTGATGAGGACAGTATTGAACCTAACTGCTTCAGAATTTTGTGTACTCATAAATCGATGTTACTGCCGAATGGATATGATATCGTTTTAAGACTTATAATCTTAATTTTAATTTTTAGCAGTTAGTTTTGTCGATAACTTGTCTGTAAAGTGCAATTTTTCTGTACTCTAGCTTTCTCTTGAGAAATGGCTAACAACCGGATTTGTCTTCTTGTGCTTTAATTTCTGCTTTATTGTTTTACTTTTTAGGGCAGATAAGAGCGATACAGAATCTGCTGTTAAATTCAACAAACCATCACTAAACAATATGGAAACTAAGACAAATGCAGTCGTTCCGTATCTTCATCGCTTTCCATATTCTATTGTTTGGACCCCCATTCCTTTATTGACGTAGGTTTCTATTTATCCTCTACTTTCTACTTAAAAAAGTTGGCTATTCCCTATTATTGGACATATGGGGATCGCAAATTCATATGGAGTCATATACGACTTTGCAGCTCCCTATACAATTGGAGTAAGTTTTCAGTTTGTGTTTATTATGCTTCTACTATTTCTCCCTTTAGGAAGATCAGATGGCATTTGGTTGGCCAACAATGTGTGTTATTCAACAATGTTTGATAGCTTAGTTTTTGATTCTCTAGGTATTATCAAGCGCATCCTAAACACATTGGAAGTCGAGAAAACTGGGACAAAGCTGTGTTTGAAGCGAATGAAGTTTATAAAGGACGAGTGGTATGTTATCTTTCTAACCTAACAAAAGTTGATTGTTACTGGGAACTAAAATTTTCACCGCCGATTACTATTTATTTAAAATTATTTTCCTATCAAGGTGATCACGAGACTTTAAATACTGTTCATGTATTTTCGTTACCGATTAACCATATTTTTTAAAGTGAACGTATGTGTAAATGATACCTTATAATTCTCAGACCTCGTAGCTCAGTTGGTAGAGCATCGGATCGGAAACCCCAGTGGTCTGTGGTTCGAATCCGTCCGTGGTCCGAATTTTCACTTCACCTTCAACTGTCACCCAGTATAAAAATACTAGTCCGCCAAACCACGGCTGCTATCTCAGATAGTCAAAATGATAATCAATATGAGGTTCCGCCTCTCTAATTCAGTTATATTTGGATTGGGATGAGAAGTCCCGACTAGGCAGCCAGTGTGAATACGACCAAGCGGCAGTAACGCGTCTTAAATTCACATGGTAGTTTGGAAAAACCCATGGTGGTTGAAGTGAAATAAAATCTGGCCAGCAGTCGGGCCTTGTAGCTCAGTTGGTAGTGCATCGGGCGGGAAACCCGGTGGTCGCTTGTTGGAATCTGGCCACGGTCCAAATTTTCATTTCGCCTTCAATCATCACCCAGTATGAATTTTCAAAGCGTTATAAAAGTCGATTATTTCTGTCTCATTTATAAAAAAATGTTTTCCTACATGAAACTCTCCTAACACAGAATTTTCGAAAACAGTTTACGTCACAGCCTTAAAGTTATTCATCAAAAGTGTCCCTGTATTTAACTATCATACGCCTTGACCACAATTGTGACTCAAACCTAGTGCATGAACATGCACTGGGTTCAGTTATATTATATCCAAGTATCATAATTGGGGAACTGTCATCACCTGATAAACACTACTATTTCTTACGTCATTGATTGAACTAAATTGATCGCTCTCTATTAGTGGGAACAACATCGCTCACTGGGAGGCAGGTGCATCCAGCTGATGAGCCCCAAATAGGACGAGACATGCTTTCTTGATTCCTCTGCTACCCACTATCCGTCGTCACTACTACCACTTTCTGGTTTAAAACATCAAGTTGAATCTTTTGAAATATTATTATTTGTGGTCTGTAAAAGATTATTCTCTGTTTATTCAGTACTTTAACATTAAACCCATGACTCCAACTTCAAAAACGTTGTCCTGTCTATTAAATTATAAAAAAAGGATAATCGATTGGAGAAGTGAACACTTTAGTTTCTCCAACTGATTACTTTGTTTTCAGGAGTTAATGCATACAAGGTCCTGATAATAGAGGGTAATAACATGTTTTTAAAACAAATGAAGTAAGATAATTCAACCTGTTATATATTTAAGTACGTGGTTCATCCCATACTTAGAGTGTGATAGCTCATGATATCACCCGGTTGTTCAGGCTGGTTGGAAAGGGATTTGGAACTCGAGAACTATGCTCAAACCAATAAGCCATAGTTTCACACATTATTTTTGAGTATAAACTAACTATACATTCGTTAAAATAGAAGCATAAAACATGACTACGGTCGAAGTTATATAGCGGTGGGAAGCTCTGCTTATCTTAAACCGCCTTCTTATTGGTATTAATTGCCAAAGTATGTCCGTAACGTTGAGGACACTCATGTTCTCTTGAATTTTCTAGCCTGAGCAACTCACCGCTGAATTAATAGGTTTTACCAATAATTCATTCTGGTCTACACCTGTGTAACTGGATTCTGCACACAAATTGTTCAATAAAGGTCACGTGAAAAGTTTGATCTAGGGACTTCGATAAGAACTTAGTTCTTGAACGCTTCATCAGTTGCCACTTAGTAACCAGCTTATTTAGAAAACTGGATCGTAATTGGTACTCAGGTTCCTTTATCGAATAGATTAGTCTGGAATCGATCTAGTTTTGGGTGACAGTGTTGCTTGTTCTGAATTTTTCAAGGGATTCATTTTCCATTACCGTGTCCTACTTGTAAGTGATAATGTGACCGGTGTGTAACAAGGATTATTAGATATTCAGTCGAATATATGACACTAATTAGAGACGTACGTCACTACTGAAATGAATAACATAGTTGCTTGTTGCAATCAATGAGATTATAAGTTTTTTGCGTGGTTGAAAAATCAGTGATAAGGTCAGGTGTAGAACACTGGGTAAGGAATTTAAGTTAGTCAATGATGTGTGGCACGTACCAAGTCGCCACTTTTCTTGATGTATGATGTTTTCCAAAGTGCGATTAGGTTAGAAAATGGCCAGAAAAAAGCGTGGCACCAATCGATGAAATCTGTCTATTATTCTGAGCTGTGTAAAGAGATGCTGATTGCTTGGTTAGCGTTCTCAAGATGGTAGGAACCAATGGTTGGGAACACTTAGTGATGCAACTTCAAATCGATCACAGTGACGCAAATGTATACACATTGTTATTTTCGAAGTCTTCAACAGTTTCACTAATCTTCATTAGTCTATACTGTTTCTTGTCATATGCTTTTATCAACTTCTATGTCATCCTGTCTTATCGTTTTCTTCTCATCTCTTTGTGTACTTATGTGAAGTATGAAAACTTGAACCGATGTACTTCTCGTCGAATTCTACGTTTATTTGTCTGTTTGTGGTCGGGAAGATTAAGCGATGCAGTTCTTTTCTATGGAAACAGTGTAGCTGCATCTACTCTTGAACCATGAGTGCTGTTACCTAATTATACCTTTTCCTTGCTCTCTTGAGAATTACATTCCCAATTCTTCGTTGCTTCAACGCCCCAGAATTTGGCATCTTAAACAGATCAGTTGTTTTCAGTGTTCTTTTCTATTCGTTTACTTAGTTACTAAATTGTTGTTCAGCTATAGAGTTGTTCACTGGGTTTATTTCTTATTATGGTTTACACTGGATACAGTGTCAAGCATGCGCAGTCAAGCATGATGATGCGCTCAGTTCTTGTACAATAGTAATCATTTTGAGTTGAAAAAATGGCTAGCTTATGGATAAGGTTAAGGTAGTCCCTACCGCTCACCTTTTTATGAATATAACCATTTAAAACAAGTAGTTTCCTTTATAAACTTCAGCGAAACAATAAGAAGAGGTAAATTGTCTGAACCGTGTAATGTATTTGCGCAACACATTTCGAACTATCTGGTCGCACACGTACTTGTCATAGGTATTTATCTGAAAATTCATGAAGATAAGGGGTGAGGAAATGAAAAGATGTCAAGTAGGAAGGCTGAATTAAAGGCAAAAAAGCAATGAAAATCAGTAGAGCGAAAATAAGAGTTCATCGAACTTGGTTTTCATAGTTGAATTTACCAAGGGAGATCTAATGTGACAACAAATTGTTTATGAACACACAAAGGTGGTTTGAACTTCTTAATACCTAAGACCTCAACGGATTTAAGTATCCATCCCCAATACGTTTTATAAATAGGTCGAACAGAAGTAGCCACGTCAATCCTGTGACCTGTCTCAGCGATATGTTCCACGACTTAAGAACTTCGACTTCTGCTACCAACGTCTATGGGTTCAGATGATTTAGTTTGCTTCTAAAGCCACTTTAGAATATGTTCCGAGGTCCTTACTTGCATGGATCTATGAGCCCTTCCAATGTATGTCACCACACGTACATTTGAATTGGTAGATGCAATGGATGTAACATTATCGTTCACATGCTGTCGGGGTTTGAGGGAATATACAGGCTTGGTGGTTTCTATTAATCGAACCCTAGCTGTATGGTGAATCTTTCTAACAGCAGCGTTAAGTTTCTGCTTAAAGATTGCACTATGAGAGTCACTTTTGTATAGAAGATTGATAAAGAGATCCTTCTTTGGGACAAACTACAGATCTGATCTTGGTGCTCTGATTATTTTGTACTGCCTAATAAATTTTGATGAATAGTTATTTTCCAGCAATATTTCAGTCAGTGTTCCTCTTTTGTCTTCCAAATTATCCTCTGTGCGTATTCGTTGAACTCTACTGAATAAGCACTTAACTAACGCTCACTTGTACTGAACTGGACAAAAGCTATGATAGTTCAAATATTGCCCTGTCCATGTAGGTTTTCTGTAGATAGATCGTTTTATCGATCCATCCTGCTTCTGAATAATGAATATGTCGAAGAATGGCAAGCAGTCATCTTCCATTTCTACCCATATCAAGGGTATGCTGTTCTTCGTTCAACTGGTTTAGAATTGAAGTAGACTGACTTGAGTTATCACTAATAATCAGGATATCGTCGGCATATCTTCGTTATAGATGAGCTTGGTCTATTAGATTCTCAGCCAAGTTTTCCACGCGTGATATAAATATATTAGCTAGGAGGGGATCTAAAAGACTTCGCATGGCAACGTCATCAACCTTGAGGAAATGTTCGTTCTGATTATTATCTTGATAACATGCTACATAAAACTTGCATCTTCCTGTATGTATATCTCATATCACCTATTCGTAACTTTAAAAGGCGGTAGAGTTCCTTGGTCTTGTAACTGTGGGACTCTGTACGTTGTGAATGTACTCTAAATAACACGTATCGGAGTAAACATTGGCTAATTGTCAAAAGAAAACATGTCTGTACAGATATGCAGTTTAAATTAGTCTACTTCCATCAGATATTAAATTTCCTTTATGAGTTTGAGTAGTGCGATCAAAAACGTCTTCTCAGTTCACATTTACATTTCGTTGTATTCCCCTCTGCTGCCTACAGGCTGTTAACTTGAGTTTTATTCCAAAGTCATCTATTACCCTCTAATAGATTATGGATTTTAACTTCTGAAGAATAGTAATCATTTCATGAATGTGCTGTTGGTAGCCTGTAACCGACTGAAGAAGATGCAGTGACTAACGCTACAGAATTTGCTTTTATTGTGTTACTCTTATTGCCTAACGTCTAACTCCTGCGTTGAGCGCATAACTGTTCCACTAGACACACGTAGTGCTGTAAATTCGCTGTTAGTCAAGTATATATGTAGCTACCCCATGTTATTCAGCTTCCAAACCCATGTCTTCAGTCACTTTAACAAGGTAGCGTATACTTGTACTTTGTATCCCGTTTTTCATGGGCAAATAGAATTCTTACCTTCACAGTAGTTTTCGCATGATGTGATGGTAAATGCTCTGACCGATCACTGCTACCTTGATGTTGCATATCTTAATAACCCAACGGGCTTCACTGGTGGAACGCATGTTATCTTGAGGTCCTACCACACCAGGTAGGTCTGTGGGATAATGATTAGACAGAAAGAGGGTCACTGTTATAGTGTGTTTTTGCGCTGTGATGGAGTGCGAGGGTGCAGCAATACTAGCTGGTGGGGAGTGTGACAGCCATAAGGTGCTTCCCTTGAATGACTAGTAGGGCCCTGTCGATGCTGCCTTTCATATGCGAAGGTGGGTGGGGGTAAAAAGGCTGTCACTAACAGAAGCATACTCCCTACGGCAAATCTCTGCTGGCGATACAAGTTCATAGTCAGCGTCGAAACCACCGAGCCTAAATCTCAAACTTCTATAAAGGCTGTGACCAGCTTCAAGCAGATGTCCCTTAGGTCCTGCGGTCACTCACTAACCCCCTTTCTTCAGTTATCTTAAGAAGAAATGGTCTTTGACGGTGTGGGCAGCCGAGAAGTGTCACCTGCCCTCACAACCCTTGTCAGCTCTCAAGTTCCCTAAGATGGTAGGTAGTGTTTAACTGTATTCAAGGTGCTTGGTGCATATTCAACTTCAAACGAAGGGGTAAGATAAAATGCTATGGGATTTTTTTTGTGTAATAAGTAAAGTATAGAGAGACCCAGCACATGTTTATTTATTAGACTGTCAGTTCTTCTTTCTGTATGAAGAGGTCATGATACTACCTAGGCTGCCTAGACTGCCTAGGCTGAGTAGACAAAAACAATGAAGACACACAAACCATTGAGGACACTTGGTGAAAAGCCTGGAAATCGGTCACAATGCCGCAAATAGATTCCCTATTTGACATATTCTAAAGCTTGACTATTTTTATTTATCCTAATTTTTGAATTCCCTCTCCTCCCTTTCGCCTCCGTCTACTTTGATATTTATCTCTCCTATCCGCTTGTTCTTTGTATACTACTGTGAAGTGTAGCAACTTGAAACCAATGGATTTATGTGCGAGGCTCTAAAGTGATTTTGTCTGTCTCTCTGACACAGGTAGTTTCTGTGAGGTTTTTTACAAGTGAGGTAATCGAATTACGGGTGTCAAAAGCAAAGCGTAACACTGGCTATGTGAGTGAACAGCTGGAGTTGTTTTGTGTCGCATTTAGAATATCCTCCCTGCAAACGGCTCTAGTTCACATTTATCAGAGTTGACCTTTTGAAAAATCATATGAAGTGATGTTGCTAAAATTAGCTAGATTAGATTTAGCAAATACCTTGGCCATTGAAATGCTTTTTAACATAATGCATTATTTTTTTTAGCATAATCTCTTCTGTGATAATTGTCACAGTCATGTGGCGTATGCTTTAAACAAAATGCGTTTTCAAGATAAAGATAATTGGAATATGATACGTGTTGTTGCATTATTGTTCTTCCAAGGAAGATATGTTAGGTAAGTCTTATTGTGCTAGAAAGTGATCTCTATTTTCATTCTTTCTATCATTGCTACTAATACTGATAATCCGCAGAGGAGTCCTCAACCACTGACTCAAATAGTCTCGGGTCCGTATCCAGATAGTCTACACCTTGCATGGCCTAGACCAAGGAGTCAGGGACTTCATGCACTGGCGCTACATCTTAATCTGATCAATGTCAACCTTATCCAACTTCCCAAGCATTGTACTTTGAGGCAGGCGGTGGCTTAGCATGTGCCACCTTGATGAAGATTCACAACCTCATTGACTGACTTGTCTCTTTTGATTTTAGTTGTTGTTTTCGTGTTCAGCTTTTCAGATTCATGCAGGAAATGCAATCCTGTCGTTCAAGGATTCAATTTTTAATGGTAAAATGATCAGTTTTAAGTGTGATTCACCTACCGTAGTTTGGATATTATGGTAGTCCTTATTAAGTAAGCGTGTTTTACAGTGTAGTTTATGCACTTGCATATGACCACTGAATATTTGCATAAAACTACACTGATTTTATGTTCGCGTAATTTCGATCTTATCATCGTCTTTCCAGTTGTCAAATAGATACGTCAACACTTCTCTCCAGCTATATGTAACTGATGATTTCCAAAAGTTTTAAGCAAACTCGTAATATGAATATCGAGAAATTTATCATACATTTTAATCGTGAAACACTTGGAAAACAAAAAGAAAAGAGCAAATAAAGGATAACAGAATAAACATAGAAGTCCTTTCGGTTAACCTGAATGTGCTGGATGATCTAGAACAACGCAAACATGTATGATGCAATTAGTAGTATCGTCAGGTAATGATGCTTGCCTTAGTGCAGAGACCGAAAATGAGAAACAAGACTATATAGCCGTTTTGAGCAACCTCACAACTGTTCCTAGTATGTGCGATCTAGACATTGTAATGTACTGGCCTGTAGTAGTTGCCTTGTTCTATCGAATACTACTCAATTCCAGCACTTACTCTGCGTCTTCTAGAAATACAAACAACGTTATAGGTGTGGTCTTACTTGAATGTGTTTAAGATCATGATTCGCGTGTGATTGAACCATATTGTCTTAAGCTGCACATGAAAGCTCTCAGTACTTTCGCACTACCTTTCAAAAACAGAAGATCCAGCTAGCCACTGATATGGATTTTAAGCTATGTATGGCAATATCTTAAGCCTTTGGGTTGTATAGTCTCTTGAAATTCACTTAGTGAGTTGTGATTCATCGATACATATACGTGAGCAATAATACTCTTATATATTATACCCCGTCCAGAAATACCATCAACAGCACAGCCACAGAACTACCAGTGAACACAAGCCCTCCACCAAAATCAGAAGTCCTGAATGGCATAAAACTGCTGAACTACGGGAAAGCAGCAGGGCCACATGGAATTCCGCCAGAAGCACTGAAAACAGATGCAGAGACAACAGCGGACATGCTCACACCACACCACTACTGCAGAAGCTTTGGAAGGAAGGAAAGGTACTTGCCGACTGATTGGAAGAAGGACTACTTTGTCAAACTTCCCAAGAAGGGAGACCTAAGTGTTTGCAAGAACTAGTGCAGAATCACGCTGCTGTCCATCCAAAACAAGCCAAACACCAAGCCGCATCATCCTGGAGAGACTAAGGGATACACTTGATTCAAAATTGCGACCGGAACAGGTTGTCTGGCTGGCTGGCTGGCTTCAGGAGGAACAAATCATGTGCGGATCAAGTTGCAACACTGAGCCACGCATCATCATAGTAGAGAGCATAGAATGGCAGTCAACTCTACCCCAACTTTATCTACTTTGAAAAGTCCTTCGACAGCGTCAACCAAGAAGTAATTTGACAAGCAGCTGCTTCAACACTACGGTTTTAGTGCCACAAACCTTTATCAACCTCATTCAACAGCTATATGAAGACGCCACATGCCGAGTGATCCACAATGGAAAGCTCAGTGACGCCTTTGAAGTGAAGACAGGGGACAAGAGTAAGACAAGGTTGCCGCCTACTATCACCGGTGACCTTCCTGATTGTGGCCGACTGAAATGGACTGGATCATGTAACAAACTGTGAGGAGGGAGAAGATGGGCATACGTTGTTTGACCGATGAAAAGAGCCTGGAAAATTTGGATTTCTCCGATGATGTTTAATGTCCAATGTAGCACACACTCGAAGATCTACAGGCAAAAACTAACAAGTAGGAAGAACAGGCAGAACGGCAAAGATGGGACTTCAAGTGAATATGGAGAAGACGGAGGTGATGAAGATACCCAACGAACAACAGCATGAACAACAAGTACTAATCACCATCAACGGAGAAATGTAAACGAAGTAGTCTCTTTCACCTACCTAGGCACGCTGCATCGTTTCAACTACAGGCAGCAGCGACACAGACGAGGATGTCAAAACCAGGATCAGAAACACAACAAGACAGGCTTTCATTAATCTGAAATCAGTGTGGAGATCTACTGCACTCAGGATAAAGTGTGAACAAGATCCGGATTTTCAACACTAATGTCAAGTCAATGCTTCTATATGGTTCAGAAACTTGGCGCGTCACGAAAAGCACTTCCAACAAACTACAGACATTTATCAACAGCTGCCTACGCTCGATACTGAAGATCAGATGGATGGCCAGAAAGAATAAGTAACAGAGAACTCTGGCCTGAAAACGAACTAACTAAAAACCCATCGCCGAACAAATATGCAGAAGGAAGTGGAGATGGATCGGGCACACACTGAGAAGACCATTCAGTGACATCATGTGTCAGGCCAGGTTCTCGAGTGGAGTCCATATGAAACACAACTAGTTGGGTGCCTGAGGCGAAGGTGAGATGGTGTGAAGTGAAAGCTTATTGGCAGTCGTGGAGCCAGGTTCAAAAGACTTCAGAGAACGGATTGCAATGGAGATGTGCTACTGAAGCCTTATGTTCCACTAGGAATCCTAGGGAAAAGTAGTAATGATAATATATATTATACGCCCGACGGCTTCATGGATCATGAAACAATTTTTTAAATATACATTGAGGATTTACAATAGAAAGTAGTCATTTGTGCTAGATGAGATTGGTTATGCTTTATCATCCACTTACATTTCATATATCTGATTACCTATATCAGGTCGACTACATCATTTAGATGCACTAGTCATTAATGGAGCTGTAGCTGATTGGTCTACATAGATCTATATTGGTGTGGCTCATTGCCGCCTACTGCACGAACGTGCACAATGTTGCTGCATGTATTTTGGTTTCGACCAACTAATCGTTAGGTATTTTTGCATGTATGAATTAGAAATAATGGACAGGCTAACGGAGAAAATCAACATAAAATGTCGCACACAATCGAATCGGCTCAAGATACTACATTTTGCAGCAGTAGACAAAGCAGTATGAGAGAATAAGCAATTTGAAGATAAGGGTTAGTGCAAATATTCAAGGAGTGAATACATGTGCACTATTATAACCAATTACACCTTACATCCTTAACCACTGATTCTTTTCACCTCGGGACCCCATCCAGACAGTCTGCATCTGCCAGCACGACTCGGACTAACATAAGAAGGTGTCATCGACTTGTTCCAGATCTTGGTTTGGCCATCCTGAGCTCTCTTCAAAACTAATCCAACTCTCCTTAGCATGACACGTTGAAGTATGCCGTGGCTCGACATGCGCGACATGCGTCTGAGCCCCCTCAGCCAATTAAGGTTTGCAACCTCATCAATCGACTTGTATGTCATGCGTAGTACCATTCACCTGACCTCAGTATTGGTGACACGGTGATTCCACGAAATGCGAGAAGTGCTATGAAGACACATGTGACCAAATTGTTGTTGTTGCTTCATGTCTTCTTCTTTTAACTGCCATGTCTGGAAGTCCTACAACAGGACAGAACGGATTGCAGTGGTTGGATATACTCGTGCTTTAATACGTATTCAGATTTCACGTCAACGCTCATGACCTATTGCCTGAGGGCTAGTGATATCTGCCCAGACCTCGGCAGGTGGAGCAGGGTTTGAACCAGTCCAGTGTCTAGAACAGTGTTTCCCAGTTCCATTGATAGCATAAGATGACAGACATCCCTCTCTTATGTGGATAGCTTTCGTTTAAGAACTCCGCCAACTGACAGCTGCTGCCGCGAGTTGGTGGTCTGGCCTGTATATCACAATGACCCAACGAGCTACACGGGTTGGCACGCTTGTACCTTGAGTTCCTACTATGTTCTTTAAGAATTTCAAATTAAAATGGAAGAATAACCTAGTACTCTCTAGTTTTATATAGTTATGAAATGCATTTGTTTTGTAATGTTTATCTACACAGTAGTATTAGTCTCAAGATTATTTTGGTGCCTAATTGTCTCTGTAAAGTGATGTCTTCCCGTTCTCTCTTTGTGTGTGTGTGTGTGTATGTTTTAAGGTGTTGAATTAAGTACAGTTTATACGCATAGTTGAAGAGTGCTTAAGTTGTAATTTATTTGATAATCAGTGTATGCTCACTGCTACTACTGTTCAACGTCTTCTCTTTTCTTCAGTAAACGTCATTGCTTTTCTTCATGGTTCCCATTCATCTTTATGATATGCATAATTTTGGGCGTCATATCAATAATTCTGCATATTAGATGAATAGTGCCAGTCAACTGAAAACTAATAGGGAAGGCAGATCATTTGACGGGTCTCATTTTACTGAATACGTTTTATTATTATTATTATTATTATTATTATTATTATTATTATTATTGCTGATATGTTTCATCAAGTCATGATTTTATAACTTCTTCTTTCTGAATAATAACTTTTCTTTGTGTGTATTTAGCATATTCACCTTTTCATTAAAAATATAGCGATTACAGAACAGCGTTTCTTGATCTCATATCTAGTTATGATATCCTTCGAGATGGTTGTCACAAAGTTTTAAATAAGAAGCCGTGACCGTGGGGTGGGAGTGGGGGTCAGCTACTTGGAAGTGAAGCGGATACCAACTGAAGACGATGGTGGATACTTGTGCTAAGTCGCTAACTGACAAAAGTAGGAAACTGTGGACTATTGAATACCAACCCAGTTACTGAATGGTCAACGCGTTCACCACGAGACCTGAAGGATCTGAGTCCGATCTCTGATGGGTTCGTGGGTGCGTACTGTTGAGGAATCCCATACTAGGAGGAGGCAGTTATTCAATACTCAGGTTTTCAATAGTTCTCCAACTGATTTCAGCCCGTGTTAATTACTACCTTTAAAATAAGTCTCTCATAAACCTCAAACTATATAATTGTGATAAATTTAAGCTGACTCGGAATTACCCAATGTAATGTGCAGATAAGGCATTCATTTATCATCAGGATTACAAGTGGATGATAGTAAAGCATAGTGACTAAGGCGCATTTGACGTTTAATTTATAGTCTGGTGTATAGGACAACAGGACACTATTTTATTTTAAGTACAATCATGATTTTCAGGCTTTGCTTTCGATCACTAGTTTCTATATTAGTTTATATTTTTCTTAAAACTGCGAGAATTTAACTTTCTTTGTATGGAAATAGGTGATCATCGTGTGTATATTGCCTCTACTCTGGATAGTGTTATATATGTGAGAAAAAGAATGTTCTGGTGTGTAGATTGTAGAATTACTTCAGAAGTTATGAAACCTATAAAGTTAGTCCTAAATAATTGTGCTGGGAAGTTCTCTATTGACTTCAGAGTCTTTTATTCGATTGTTAAATTGATATAGCGACAGATGGATATAAATCTGGAAAACTCCTTGACAGCCATCCTCTCCCTGCTGTTCAACACCATGGATATGTGTATAAGAGCTTATGGCGAGTTGTCATTTGAATTGACGACAACCATTGGTGTCCACCAGAAATGACTACAATCACCGGTCCTATTCAACTTCTTCATACACGTACTAATGCAAATAACCTTCGATACGTCTGACTTCACAGGGATCGTTCTACTCCCTGGAGGTCATCTGGTTGACTTTGTGTGTCCAAACGCTATTGTCCTGGTAGGTGAAGATGCTGCTGAATTGCAGAGTCTTCTGGACACGTTGAGCAGAAGTCGCAGTATGTTTGGCATGCGTTTTGCACCTGTCAACTGAAACGTGATGCTCCAGGACTACTCTGCTTCAAGTACTCCCAGTGTAGTAAGGGTTTGGTGTGACCCTCTTCCAAACTAATCTAATCCTCCTTAGCATGACACGTTGAAGTATGCCGTGGCCCGACATGGGCGACACGTATCTAAGCCACCTCAGCCGATGAAGGATTGCAATCTCATCAATCGACTTGTATGTCATGCGTAGTACCATTCACCTGACCTCAGTATTGGTGACACGGTGGTTCCACGAAATGCGAGAAGTGCTATGAAGACACATGTGACCAAATTGTTGTTGTTGCTTCATGTCTTCCACTTTTAACTGCTGTGTCTGGTAGCCACATAGCAGTACTAGGTGAACTACTTCAACGTGCTGGCGTCCTCTGGTGTGTAATCTAATATCTCATCAGTGTCATGGGTGACGCAAATTGGGAAATACCAAATGAGCTTTCTGTACGCGAGCCGAGATTTCGTCAGCAACCAGCCTTTTTGGACCGGACATACTCTGCCTTCTGCTCAACGTGTCCAGAAGACTCTGCAATTCAGCAGCATCTTCACCTACCAGGACAATAGCGTTTGGACACACAAAGTCAACCAGATGACCTCCAGGGAGTAGAACAATCCCTGTGAAGTCAGACGTATCGAAGGTTATTTGCATTAGTACGTGTATGAAGAAGTTGAATAGGACCGGTGATTGTAGTCATTTCTGGTGGACACCAATGGTTGTCGTCAATTCAATTGACAACTCACTCTGGGTGCGCTTACACAGCTGCGTGAGTTCGAGTAGAGAGCTTTGATTAGCGCTATATTCTTGCGTCAGATGACTATAGATCCTAGGATCTGGGACACAATATCAGTTAGACTCATTCTCCTATGGTTGTCGCAGGAGGATTTCTCTCCCCTCTTCAAGGCTGTGATGATGTATGAAGCATATCAATCTGATTGGACTACGTCTGATTCCCATACATTACCTATTACTTCTGTCACATCACCAATTTCCCACGTCCATCCTTGAAAACCTTAGGTGGTGAACTACTAGGTCCTGCTGTTGTGCATCGTTTCAAGTTCGATAAAGTCTCAACTTCAAGGAAGGTTGTAGGACTCACGTCCACATCCCATCCAGCTTCAGGCTGGATGTCGTGCAACTAAAGCGTTGCTGAAGATCATTTAAACTGTGTTTCAAGGTGTTCTGACCAACATTGTAGCCTCCTGTCCTGAGAGGTTATCAGGGCTTCATTCTTTTCAATGATGGTTTCACCAATACGGGGTGACAGATCTAAAACCCCGATATAGCCAGACGGAGGGAAAGATTGGTTACTGAATTTTTACTCACCAAATCGGTACCTAACACATGCAACAGGAATGATTCGTCACACATTGCAGAGATTTTCGAAAATTACAATTCCCCTAGAAATGAAGAATAAGATGTGATATGACTGGAAATGAAGTTTCGAAGTTGTGATTAAATTGATATGATAATCAGAGATACCTTGTTCTCAGAGTTTCATCCAGTAAATATTACACTAACCACCGTGAACTATATCTAATGAACTAGTCTAATGTGAGCTACTAAATATTTCGACAATGGTAAACGAAGTGAGATATGTTTTAGCAATAAGTAACGGTAAAAGTCTAGAATAACTTTACAATACCGTGTACGCGCAAAAATTAGAAACGGTCTCAAATCGTAAAGTTTGCACAAAGTGAAAATCCCAACTTATGACGAGCTGGGCGTGTTGTTTCAAGCTAGGACTCTACCTCATCCTACAGTATAACTTTGATTGGTGCCTTACTTGACCTGTAGGCAGCTGAAAAATCTATTTTTTACGGAAACCGTTTCTAGCCTAGCCGCATGCATATGAGGATATAAACATTGTACGTATGAAATACATCAATGAGAACTTTTTCCATGATGGAATGTACTACAGGTGAATTTCCCACGAAAAGGCTACACACAATTGTAACGTACTGTATATGTAACTATTACGTAATACTCAACCAATCCTACTTAACTCAATGTGCTTTAGTACCTGCTTAATTAGTACCTTACCTAACGTGTAAGTAACGATAACAAAACACAAATCAAAAGGACTGGTATTCAAGAATATATTCGAAAGATCAATATATTTAAATAGAATAAAAATGAAGGGAAAACTTTATCCAACGTAACTGGCTAATATGACCTAGCTAGGGACTCTGAGAATGTGCCTGTCAACCAGCAAAATGTCGTCGAAGCCGTCTCGGATACACACTCGTTAAAACACGTTAAGCATCCGGAGGGGAGCCGCAAGTTTATTTAGTCAATATATAGTTGATTCAACTTAGTCTATTTATTTTGGGCCTAGTTGCATTTTGGTATCAGAAAGGTTCACTACACAATCATAAGATTTTATTTTGCTAATATTTCTAGCAAAATTACTGCCCGTGATGCCACCAACAGCTAAAATCTTTTTAATAGTATTTATTCAAGTTGGTATTCATCATGGACTGACATAGGTTGGAGGAGCGTTGGGAACCTGGGAGCACTGGACAACTGTTTCGTCCTAGTATGGGACTCCTAAGCGGTGCTCACCCATGACCCTGCCAAGAATCGAACCCAGGTCCTGCGGTCATTCCGTTACCATTGGGCCACTGGGTTGGAATCTATAATGGTCCATATTTCCAACTTCGGTCAGGTCACAACATAGCGCGACCATCACCCAATGTCACCAGGTTCACACCATTGGTCACAACTTTTCATTGAAACTTCAGGAATCACCTCTCGAAGTTAGTCACTAATGAACACTAGATCAATTGAATTCTGAGGTTTATGGGGATTTACTGATTTCAGTTCATGATGAATACCAACTTGAAATCAATAAATCCTCACAAACTCCCAAACTGAATACCTGTTGACTCCTTTACAAATAGGTGTCACATATTTTGAATTACCTTTGTTCCATGTGTTAGGGGTGACAGGTATGTGTAAATATGAATTTTGTTATCAGTCCTTCTTTCCGTCTGCATTTGTTGGACTTCAGTATGGTAGTGTTGTTCCAATTGCTGTTATATTTTCGTCCTATGCATGAGCTGCTATCGGTGAACTTTTCTTCTAGTTTTTGTATTGTATTTCTGTTGGCTGACCTCTATTTAATCTTTGATGTACATTTAGTCTAGTTTTCAGCGGTCTTGATGTTTTTCCTACAGAGCTTATTGGGCGGTATGTATACGGTAGTCACTACATTATCGTTGTCCGGTTTTTTAACTGGATCTTTTAGTTGGTTCAGCTGATATTTTATGAGATTCATTGCTTTAAATGCTGTGGAAATACTAACCTTTGTGAGTTTTTTTTCTAATTGCCACTGATGTACCGTTTCTGTATGGTAATACCACTCCTATTATTGTAGTTACTTTTCTTAGTAAACTCCTGCTGTTGACTTTTATTTCTTCTTCTTGATGTTATCTTTTATGAATTGCTTTGAATATTGTTTCTTTAATAACACCTTGAATAAGATATTCACTTCTTTTCGTTGATCAGCCGGGCATGTTGTTAATCTACATATTCTGTTTGCCGAACCCTGCATTAACCTTCATTTTACTGTGGTTGAGTGGGCGGAGCCGTTATTAAAAATACCTTCCAGAATGCGTTGGTTTTCTATATAGCGTTGTTT